CCGTGTACTCAGGTTTGGGTGCACGTTAAAGAACCCCAGGTGGTCAAAATTTCCGGAGCCCTCCACTACGGCGTCTCTCATAATCAAATGATGGTTTTGGGACGTTAAACCCCACAAATCAATCAATCAATCATCAGGAAGCCTTCTCGTTACTGTGATTGGCACATTGAAAAGCCTCTGGCTGATGTGTTATGAACAAGTCTTCATGGTTATTTTGAAATTGAACACTTATTTCCCCTTTGATTTTTTTCATGATTCATTGTTTTCGAATATGTGTGTCAGATAAAACTTAAATGCCTCACCACTGACGTATTCGTTGAACTTGGCGACCATCTCTCGTTCTGTCCATGATGCAGCAGTAGCGCGGCATTCAAAGAGGTTGAAGAAGTCTTCTATGGGTCGATCGTCCACTGATGCTGTGTACCTCGAGATGTCGAGGTGTGTCAGTGATGATGCCATGGTGCTAGTCGTAGGGTACAGCAAGGATCTGCTTCTGCAGTGCACATACGATCAAGGCATCGTGTTCAGGACTTCATTGATGATGCCTGGCCGGTGAAGTGGTTGCCAAGTCTTCATTCTGTCGACTTGTGTCACATTACGATGACTGGGAGGCGTTGTCTGGCTCATACGCCATGTTTACTCCAAAGCTCTTTTTCCACATCGGCTTCTCTAACCATGATTTCGTACATCACATATTCATATTATCGATCCATATTCATACTATCAGTTAGTTAATAGAGAAATATGTGGAATACAACTAACACCTATACATCGTCTTCTTAGATTACGAGAAGGCGTTTGACTCAGTCGAGACATAATGCAGGCACTACGGAATCAGGGCATCGAAGAACCCTACCTAAACATACTGGAAGAAACCTACAGGGGATCCACAGCCAGCATAGTTCTCCATAAAGAAAGCAACAGAATACCAATAAAGAAGGGTATAAGGCACGAAAACACAATCTCTTCAATACTGTTCACCGCATGCTTGAAGGAGGTTTTCGGGACCCCATATTGGGAAGAGTTAGGGATAAGAGTTACTGGAGAGTATATTAGTAACCTGCGATTCACTGATGACATTGTCTTGATGAATAACTCCGGAGACGAATTACAGCTCATGATTACAAAACTGGACATGGAAAGCAGAAAGGTAGGTCTGAAACTTAATATGCACAAAAATAAAGTACAGTAAGACCTCATTAGTTTGAACTCGATTATATCGAAATCTCGCTTAATTCAAAATATTTCTGCGGTCCCGTATTTTGCAGTGTAAGTCTGAGCAGATAATTTGAAACAGCGGTCAGCACCAGTTCGGTTAATTCGAAAACTTAGGGTGCCATGTGACAACTCCCGTTCCCGCCCTCACCGCAAATCTGCGGAAACGACGACCCTTAAGAGCCACAAGGCAATGTAACGTAGCGATATTGAGTGGCAGCTGAAACACCCCAGCCCCGCTACTTTTAACGCAAAAAGAACAATAGAGAAAGAGATAAACTGGTCTCGTGGTCAACCAAAATGTGTGCCTGCGGAAAACAGAACGTGCTTCACTCCAACACAGCAAGATGCACGAGCAGCAGATTGCATGTTTTTTACAACTTTAGTGCGTAATGATCTTCAATTCAATTCTATTTTTTATTAATAATTAGCACAGAAGGAGGTCCGAGAGTTACAAAACTGTCAGGGGGACTCTCTATTAGTCATTTGTCAATATCAGTAAATTGCATATAATCAGAAAAAAGCAGTTAAAGAGTAAAAAAGTTACAGCTTTGCCACAAAGGTGAAGCAATGATTGAGATAGCAACAAATTGAAAGGTCACGCGAAGAATAGCTAGCAGATCGATGTGCCCCGCATTTCTCACGCACGTACTTACAGGTACAGATGAACGCAAATAAGCGACTCCGCTGTTATTTTGCTGTGTCCGAAAAGCGTGTCTTTTTCGGAAACGGAGACTGTGCAGCGAGTATACTACAGAATCGTTCCGGTGAAAGCCCAAGGCGTACCATTCTCCCCACCGCAAAATAAGAGCGTGCACTCGTGAGGGTCCACCCACCCACCTTTTCACAGGGCAAAGTACGCGTGGGAAATTAGAGCAGGTGCCGCCACGTTGTGCCAATCTGGCGACATGCGCTCATTGTGCAATCTCACTAGTAATGCTGAAAACACGATAGTTTCCCTGAGATGCCCATCGCCAGCGGTAAGTGGTAGCTATAGTTAGCTTGTCGTTTCAACGTTGAAGGAGCTGCTTCTTTGTGGTTAACGCCTCGCACTCACAAACAAGAGGTTGGTGGTTCGATTCCGTGCGCCAGAGTTTTTTTTGTTTTTGGATTATTTTTCTTTCTTGCATTTTCATATTACATAAATACGTATACATATATGGTGAATGACATGGATGCCGGCAGCGAAATTCAGCCAAGAGTGTCCATATCATTGCTATCACAACAAAAAAAAGATGTGAGAAAATAATAAAGCAGGGCATTTAGAGAAAAAGAATAATAATGGAAAGAACCAACAAAAGGTAAGTGTTTAAAAGAAACGTAATTTACGAACAAACTGTACAGAACTCATTATAAACGATAAAAACTGCAATCAACATAACCTATATTAACATAAGTGTTTGCCCATTTATTTCTGAGATTGTAAATAAACTTCATAAAAAACAGTTGGGCTAAATTCACAATGTAAGCGAATCTCCAATTGCCAGTTCCTCTAGCAATTTGCGCACTCATACTGCTGGCTGAGTTCTTGCCTGCAACGTCTACTTCAAAAAATAAATTCAAAGGCTTTAATGACCATGTTTTCCAGCCGAAATATATAGCAAGTTTTTGTCACAGTGGCAATTATTAAATTACTTATTTTACCAGAAAGAATGGGCGAATGGCCGCATCATGACGTGCTGACACAGCGAGGAGCAGGCGACATGCAGCCTGTGTGTCACTACTATGCTGCAGTGAAGCACATCTTGTTTTGCGCAGGTGTGCATTTCAGTTGATCACTACAGCATTTTCTTCTTTTTTTTTTCGGTGGAAGCAGTTAGGTTCGTCGTTCCACTGTGTATGTGGCTAAATTAAGACCAGGTATTGCAAGAAAACAATCTTTGAAGCCGCAAACTAGCTGGCACAGCAAACGATCAGCCATGATTACCTTGAATAATATCAAGTTCTTTGCATCTCACATTTTGTATGTTCTGTTAATTCGAAAAAACCACTTAATTTGAAGATTTCTCACATCCCAAGTGACTTTGAATTAACAAGGTTTTACTGTAATGTACAATAGTCTCAGCAGAAAAAAAGCACTTTGCGATAGGTGGAGTGGTGCTGGAAGTTGTAAAGAAATATGTCTACTCAAGACAGGTGGTAACCGCAGAGTCAAATCATGAGAGTGATATAAATAGAAGAATAAGGATGAGGTGCATCACATTAGGCAAGCATTCTGAAGTCATGAATGGTAATCTACCACTAGACCTCAAGAGGAATATATATAATAGCTGTATCCTGCCAGTACTTTCTTACGGAGCAGAAACCTAGCTGGAGGCTTGCAAAGAGGGTGCAGCTTAAATTGAGGACGACGCAGCAAGCGATGGAAAGGAAAATGATAGGTGTAACCTGAAGAGACAAGAAAGGAGCAGAGTGGATCGGGGAACAAACCAGTCTTAAGGAAATAATAGTTGAAGTCAAGAAGAAATGGACATGAGCTGGGCACATAGTATGTAGGCAGGATAATCTCTGGTCATTAAGGGTAACTGGCCGAATTCCCAAAGAAGGCAAACTCACGAAATTTAGGTGGACCAATGAGATTAAAGAGTTTGCAGATATAACATGGCAATAGAAAGCACGAATCCGGGTTGATTGGTAGATGGTGGGAGAGGCCTTTGCCCTGCAGGTGGGCGTAGTCAGGCTGATGATGATGATCATCATCAAACTATTCCCACCACAAATTTAGTGGCGTGCCATGTACAGAGGCTGCTACAGACAAAATATCATGCCCTCCCTCTCACCCCTGCCGTGCCTCCTCATTTCATGAGACATGCTGGCATTGTGGACAAACGCAGAGCTCTCATGAGCACACTCGAGAATTTGAGCTTCACCAAGTCATGACCTCAGAGTTTGCACGCCGACAGGTTCCGTGCAATCTTGGAGGCCGGCAGCACGCACACTGTCTGGCAATGAAGACGAAGATCGCAGAGTGGTTGAAATCTGCTCCGACAGGTTGACATCTGCTCTGATCTTACTTAGGTGCATTCCATAGCCAATGAGATCAGCAGGCTGGGTGACGTTGTGTTACTAGAGCATGTTGTTCTGTGAATGGCCAGTTGAAAATTGCTGAGTCGCAGGTATTCGCAGCTTAAAAGTGTTGTAATAAATGCCCTTTATGCAGAGCTCAAATTTGTCTTTAAATGACCCTGAGTATTTCGGTCTACCAGCCCAATGTGGTTGTACAAAATTGTCAAAACCATTTCAGAGTTTCTTTTAAAGGACATAGAGGGCCTACTCTCATGACAGCTTGTAGGCCCTTTCTAAATTTTTTTATGCTTTTACACATAATGCCAGTGTACTAGAGCAAAAATGACTTGAACATTTTGCACGCAATACACGCAGGCCCTCAGAATTTTGAAGCTGTTGTTTTGTGTTAGTATATTTTTGTCATGGAGAGGTTTGGTTTAACTACTGAGAGGTCAATCACTGTGCATGTAGCAATATGTCTGTGTGTATGAGATTTGAATTTCAGAGATTGGGCTAATTGATAATGAGAGAAACCAGGACAAGACTAAAGGAAAATGACAAATGCATGTCCTTGTCATTTCCTTTTTGTCTTGTCATTTGGGCTATGGGATTACATCATAAATTAGTTGTGTGCTCACTTTCGAGACTCTTTTTGAACAAAAATTCTCAGTCCATGCATTTTTTTGAAGCATCATGTAGTGTATAATGGTTAGTATTTAGCATGAGGCCCCCTACAACTTACTATTTCAGTGCTTGAAGGGCCTGCTTTCTTCTTGCAGGGGTGGGCCTGCACATTCACTGTTCCGGGAGAACGGCTACTATGGATACACACCCAAGACACTGGTGCACCACTATGCCACGGTCTGGGTGAGTCTACATTTTTAACATCGCAGCAATGGCGCTGCTAATCACAGAATGTTTCTGCTAGCACCAAGTATAAAAAAAAATTCGTCATAGACATTATCATTTCCGATTAGCACAGCATTGTTCTGAGCCAAATAGATTGTGTTAAAATATTTTTTCCAGTCCACCAAGCTTGACAATTTATGAAAATTGTTTAACTTTTTACACAGTAACATTTGAAAAAAATGCTTCATGCAACAGTCGAGCGTGTGGAGGTGCTATCACCCCCTGGAAAGTCGTTCGCACCTCGTAATAACGCATGTTTGAGGTTTGAGGTTTATTTTTATTTTTCTGTTTCCTGTACATAGGAAAAAACAAAGCAAAAAGCAAAAAAGCTGTAAAGCCTGATGGAGGGTTTTGCTTTGAAGTACAGTCTGGTACACAACTTGGATGCAGATAAAACAACTTTTTACACAAAGACTAACAATCAGCAAATATAATCAGACAAATAAACGCTACAAAGAGAAAAAGAACAGAACAATAAGTATAATAGAAGACAAAATACCGATAAAGAAAAAAACATCATTATCCCAATATGTAGAATAGGTGAGATCAAAACACATTTGCAGACAGATACATTTCTAAAGCGAACAACAGCATTGATACTATACAGTTAACAATTTAATAATTAATTGAAATTTCATAATAAATATATTGAATGCAATTATAAAGAAGAATTCCCTTGAATGTATTTTCGGAAATCTTTTTATCTAGGTCAACTACATTTTCAAGTTTATTGAGCAGACTGGCTGTTTGATAGTCAGTATGCTGCTGAAAATAGATGGTCCTAGTTCTTGGTGTTCTTATGCCAGGTGTACGGAGGCAGTACTCAACACACTGAGAAGAATCAAACATGGGGTATAGTTTGTTATTTTTTATGTACAAAAATAAGTTCTAGTAATATACACTCAAACCTCGTTATAACGAAGTTGTAGGGAAGCCACAATTATTTCGTTATAGCGATAATAGCAGTTTATGGTAAATGTATGCTCAGATGGGCGCACACCTATAGGCATGCAAGGAAGGAAACCGCCTCGCAGCCAGATGTACCGCTACACGACCACACGTGCCACGGAAAATAAACTCAGTCGAATCTCATTAGTTTGAACTTCCATGCAATTTGAACTCATTGAGGTCCCGTCAAAGCTATGTATATTCCAATGAGCAAAAAGGCCCTGTAATTCGAACGCACAAGTACTTGCGATGATTAATTCGAACATACCGTGCTCTGAAAATGCTCTCAGCACCATACTCAATCTCCCGGTAGCACCTCTCAAGGCTGCGCACAAAGAAGGAAAAGAAGAAAGGGAAAGAAAAGACTGTGGCGAATTGTTTTCTCTCTCTCAAATGCCGATCTGCGATGCACCTGTGCCACGCTTCTCCTTTTTCTGTCTCGGCACATAGAGACCCTTCTCCTCTCAAAGCCGCACGCAGAAAGAGAGGGAAAAAAAAGGAAAGCTGTCGCGGAGAGTTCTTCTTTCTGGGTGCAGAAAGTAGCAGCCATGGTAGCAGCGGAGACGCAGTCGTTGCCGTCGTGAGAGAGAAATCGTTTTGCACTGCGGTGCCCCTTCTCGGTCATGTGACCTGCTTAGCGCTTCCTCAATCTTCTCCGTTGGCTGTGTGAGGAGGACGGCTCTTTCGGCCTCGCGGGACGTGGCTTTAAGGTCGGTGTGGGAGTTTTTAAAGAGCTGCGCCGAACGAGTGCTGAACTACGCAGAAAACGATATACTTAACACACTATGGTCGTTTTCTTATAGACTATTTCATAGACTAATTTATAATTTAGTTTGTTATATTTATTTACTGGTCAATTTTACTTCGATGCGACGAGGTTTAAAATGCATGGTTCTCAATGGAGCTTTCAAGAGGAACTTTATTTACTTCGTTACATCTATTATTTCTTTATATCTTGTAATGTTATAACAAGGTTTGAGTGTATTTGGTTTGTTTGTAATAATAAATATTTGTAAAATAATGGACGTGTGCTAAAATTTTGCGGGTGACCGTAGTATCCTTTGATTAGTCGTAGTACTTTTTTCTGTAATGTAAGTGTAACAACAGGAATGGTTCGTCACGTTTGCCCGTGCATGGTCAACAAAATGAATGACACGAGATGATACCAGAGTAGATTTTAAACAACATTTAGAAGGACAAGGGACTCTATTGACTATCAGAAAGACAAGCACAGAAGTACACACTTAAACTGCCTAAAGAACGAGTGGCTACTGTCCAATCTACGTGGCTACACGATAGCTCACAGTTGGTCGAACCAGGGTCCCAAGGAGGCGACAGTTCACGCACGGTGATGCCACCTGTTCGTAGCAAGATCAGGCACGCAGGTGGCGCGTGCGGTCACAGCAGGAGACAAGGCCTCCGTGAGGCCTCACATTCATAGACAGATTTCAGCCATCTCAGGTGGCAACGGAGATCCGGAACCCATCATCCCCGTCACGCACTGCTGACATGTGTTACAGTAATGTCTTATAGTTCTGTGCTGTCGTTGTTTCCCAACACAGGACACAATAACTTAGCCTGGAGTAGAACAGTGTAAGGCTTCCTTTAGCCAAAGGGGTAATAAATGAAATAGTCTGTACATACATACAACACTTCTACTTAGGTCTGCTACTAGTTGATTTATGTGTTCATTCTAAGAAAGGTCTCTCAGGAACCAATCGTGCAAGAATTTTTTGTACCCTTACTTGTTCTAAAGGCTGACCCTCAAAGGAGACATTTAGACTTATGTTTTGCGACTTGTTGATCGGTGCAAACAACACAAATTTAGTTTTACTCTCATTTAGCCACAACTTGTTTAGTTTAAGCCAGCAAGACAACTTATTTAAATATGTGTTCTCAGTACCTTGAAGTTCAGGGATTGAAATAACCAGCAAAAAATATTGGTGTCGTCAGTATACATGAATAATTTAGGAGAACCTGGAATATCACTTAAGTCGTTAACATAAACTATAAACAAGAGAGGGCCAAGTATCGATCCTTGTGGCACACCTTTGGTAACATTGGCATGCGGAGATATCTTTTGATTGATAGTACTCTGTTAAGTAATTCTGTAATAGTTTATCAGCAATGCCACGCGCATTGTAGTTAAGTTTTTCTAAAAAAACACTATAATGCTCAGTATCGAATGCTTTGTGAAAATCAATAAAAAGTTCGAGCATATAAGCTTTTTCTAAAAATTGCTTGGTTTCTCATTTTTTAAATTAAGTAATGCAAGCTCGGCAGATTTGCATTTTTGAAAGCCAAATTGGGCGTCACTTATGACATTGTACTTCACAAAAATTTTTGTAATCTAATAATAATAATAATAGCACTCTCAAAAACTTTTGACAATATCGGTAGTACCGGTACGGCTAGGTAATTTGCAATTTCTTGGTTATTGCCGTCCTTGAAAACTAGGCACACGTGAGCTATATTTAATTCATTAGGAAACACGGCGGCAGCAAAAGTTAAATAAATAGTTAAATAAATAATAATATGTGTCAACACAGGGGATATAACATCGGTGACGTATTTTATTAGTATAGATTTAATGACATCATAACCTGCTGCACAATTGTTTTTAATTTTTGTTATTAGTTCTTCAGTTTGATGACATGAGATAGTGTGCAGGACTATGGACTTAGAAAAGCTGCGGACATTTACGGCCAGTTGTGGAACCTCATCATGCACCACTTTATCGAAATGACAACTTTTTCTGAAGTATTTATTCTTTGCTATTGCCACCTCTCTGTTACCAAGAACACTGAAGTTAGCCTGAAGCTTGGATTGTGGCTCTGTTTTATTCGACTAGAAAGATTTTGAACCCTGGTTCCAAATTTCGCTAGGATTATCACTTATTCTACTAAATAGGTTCTCATAATACTTAAGTTTAGTGTGACTCAGTTCACAATTTAGCTGGTTTATGAATTTTTTTAACTCACTGAGTAACTTCACATTGCGCATCTTGACGAATGCACGGTACATGTTGTTTTTTGCAATTGTTTTAAATGATACACTGTTTATCCAAGGTTTTCTCATTTTCTGGCATTTTGCATTCTTAACCGACAGCGGAAAAGCTTCATTATAACATTTTATAAGTTGATTAATGAATAGCTTGTATTCCGAGTTAACATCCCTTTCCTTTAACATGTGGTTCCAGTCTGTCGCAATTACACGATACTGAAATATTTCAAGTGTCTCAGCATTAAGCTGACGAGACCGCACTTTATCATTGCTCTTGCAAACACTGTTGCAAGAAGGAATGGTGCAAAAGATTGGCAGATGATTGCTAACATCTACTGCCAGCAAACCAGCGAGACAAGATGGTAGGTGTGTGTTCGTCAAACATATGTCTAGTAGTGTCGCTGTCTGTTAAGTTAGCCAGGTTGCCTTTGAAATTACGTTATTGCAGGCAAAGGAATTTACCAATGCTATTAACAGGCGTGACGTTGTATCTTCAGTCAGCATGTCTATGTTTATGTCTACGTAGATAGGCTGCATTTAGGTTTAGTAGTTCCCGAGCGAGAAGTGGCACTATGCTTGCGCAGGTTAGAGATGACGCTTAGATGCCAGCAGCACCGCATGGTCCGCGGCAGAGATGCTAAGCGGGCGCACAAGAAATAATTGCAGATCTATAACGTGAATGTTGATGAGAGAGCGAAGCTAATATCTGAGGTCCATAATATAAAAGATGAACAGATGCCCACCAGTATAAAGGATGGACAGGTGCACGTACGAACGAATCGATGAATGCATGGACCAACAGACGGATGCACAGACATTGTTTGGTGTATTTTAACACAATGTGCATTGTGATTGCTCTATATGCACAAATGTTCTGTGTACAGTTCTCATTAATGTATGGTATATGTAGCACTTATGTTTCGGTCCAATGGGAAGCTACGACAGCAATGGCCTCAACGAACATCGCAAGAGCCTAAGGAGCTTCTCTCATATAAACGTTAGCGGGT